GCCGTGTGTTGATCGAAGAAACTGTTAAAATCGAGCGTTGCAACTGTTTTATATGAATTTAATTTCTACATACATATTATGTCTATGTTACAATTTTATATATAAAGATAATTTCATGCGAGACTACTATTCTATCAATCCTTTCGCACGCGACGCGTGCTCGTGTACGTTCTTTACATCAGCGAAACTTCACTCGACAAGTTACCTCGAGTAAATGGACGACAAGTAACTTCGGCTATTCTTCGGCAAAAGAATGAGGAGGGATGAAAGACAAGTTACAGTGCGGAAAATTTTTATAAAAAGGGAGAGAGAGAGAGAGAGAGAGAGATGATTAATGTATATATTTATATTATATTTAAATTTATATCGATGCACAAAACGTAAGCACAAAACATATATCTCTCTCTTTTTTTATTAAACTCCTAGATTAATTTACAATTTGTCGAGTAGGACAATAAGTACATTTTATGCGTTCGTACAATACTTGTTGATATTATATTTTGCAATTGGTAAAAAAGGATATTAATATGAGAAAAACTAACACCACCTCGTGGTGTTTTTTTTTTACGCACAGTCATTTTGTAAATGGTAGGAAAGCCAGTAGAATATTTATTTGAAAAATAGAAAAATATAATGCCGTGAAAACAAAATAAAATCGAAATGTGTTTTTTTTCAAGTATATTTATTAGAACATTTATTATTATAACATTTAAATTTATATTAATACAACACCGTAAACATCGCAAACATCGCATATCGTTCGGACATGATTTCAATTGGTCTTCGCCAGATATTTTACATTGTGAAAAGCACACGAAAAAGAAATTGCCGAAATGCTGCATATCATAAAGTGGATTCTAACACTATCAATTCGAAAAAAGATACCGAAAACCTGAATCCTTTATATGCGATTCTGTTGTTAATTCTTTGATGTGACTGTCAGTTATTTATTTCCCTCTCCTTTCTCGTTGTTTTAACCTAAACGTTTTTATTTTGTAACACTCTCGACAGTCATTCTCCGGCCTTTGTAGACTGCGTACATATTTTAACTCTGTACCTGTTATTTTGTAATCATGACTCATTTTCTTCCTGACTTCTATCAAACGACTGCTTATCGCATTGGCTGGATTATTTATTAAGGTAATAATTGACTGGCCTTTCATTTAATTTCAATTTTTTAAATTATTTTATCCGCTATGACATACCATATCTTTAATTTATTTATTAATTTTAATCTCATTTCCTTTATAATTTTTATGATTTATGCACACTGAGATTATTTTGTAATTTGTTCCGTATAGTTGATTAGTTTGTAATCCCGATTATTGGATATTACTTTCAGAAATGGTTTGATAAAGACCTAAACCCCTTGGTCAAGACGTCGCATTATATTTTGCTTCTTATTAAACACTGGCCAGTTAAAGTTGATTAAAGTTTACTTATTATTATTTATTACTAGCAACCTCAAGTGATTTCTATCTATTATCTGAAACGTTTTCCCGTATCTTTCATATCTTTCAAGATATTTGCCTAGGGCGATTAAAATGAAACACTCTGTATATTTAACCGATTTATTCATCTTAACATTTGGATTTCTGTCGGGAACGCGGCTTCGCAATCCCCGTTGCGCCGAATAATGAAACGAGAACGAGGAGAGGTCTTAAAACTGCTTAATTGGAAAAGGAAAGAAACACGCGACGGTGCGGCTGGCGAATAAATGATTCGATTTCGTTCACTTGTACGAACTAGTCGCAAACCGATTTCCTTTCGCTTGTAGAGCTCGATTCGAGCCGAATAAAAATGGGCGCAAACTCGCGCCAGGGGAAGCCGGACTTTCGACGCGATCCTATGTTAATGAAATGAATAAGTTTGTACTCGACGGACGCCGAAATTTTAATTGAACGGACGCATGGCGAGTGTGCTAAGAAATTTTCGTGTGAACAAGTTACTCTCCTCTATGAGCAGGCAAGATGATCCCGATTCTAATTTCAAAGTTCCGATGTTATCGAAAACTTGGGAAGCAAGAAGAAAGACGTTATGACAAAAAATTCTCTAAATTTTCGCCGCACAGTATTTTTTCAAATTATATCTTTTCTTGCAATATTTTTCGCTGTACTATTTCTCGTATATTTCCCTCTCTCTCTCTCTCTCTCTCTCTCTCTCTCTATCTTTGATGTATTTTGAAATCTGCAGCATCGAAAATGTTCTTATTGAGAAAAATACAGTCGAGTTGATCGTAGAATTCTTCAGTTTTCTTTATACGCGCGCGATAACGAAATGAAACGATGAAATTCTTCTTAACCCATTAAATCCTAGGAAACTCCTGTGCGTTTTTCTGTTTTAAATCCTTGTAACTCAGGTCTTTATGAAAATTTGTAGACCGCATTGGTATCGAAAAGTAATAAGAATTGCTCCTTCCGAAAATGTGGTCAACAGTGGAGTGGGAAAATTAAATTTGACTTACTATAAAAGAATATATATATTTTATGTTTAAGACTTAAAGGCATCTTTATAAGACGTCATAAGAACGTTTTTTAACAATGTCTTAAAGACATTTTTTCCGTCTTACGGACGTCTTTTCGTGAAATTTTAAAGACGTCTCTAGTAAGACGTTTTTAAGACGTCGTTTAGACTTGCATATTGTCTGGGTAAATTCATGTGGGAAGGCATCAGTGATGCCTAGTGTACAACAAGCATTGGCGGCAAATCCTAAGAGACCGAATACGCAGTTTATACGCCGTCGGTCGGCTTGGTATCTCCATTCGAAAATCTCGCGCGTCTAGGTTGCTTTAACGGCACTACCATATTACTCTACGAACGAAGAGAGAAATTCTCCTGGATTATACGAAGAAAACGAGGGGGAGGATAGAGGAACTATATAAAGAGTACAAGGGCAAGTGGGAAAGAGGGAAACGAAGAAGTTTGGCTGAACTGCGTAAAGTTTTCATTAGGGATATTGGCCACCTTTTTCTCCGGCCGTCTCTTCCGCTAGCTTTCACCGCGCCGGATGAAGTCGGGCGCTCGGCCGCGGCAATTTTAATATGACTACGGGAAGGAGGAGTCCCGGGAGATCTGAATATAATCAGATACACGGCTGATCCGTCCAGTTGTGATACACCTCCTTTTTATCTTCGCTGTCTTAATTGTCTAATCGTCACAGTTATAATCAACGATCGCCGAGTCACTCAATTGTAGCTCGTGTATGTACAAATGTTCTCCATAAACACTCTGAATCTGGTGGTGAATGAGCCATCAGCGAATCAGAAGACTCTCCACTTTCGTAAACGTTTAGTCAAATTTTCATAAATTTTCGGATCTTAATAAAATTTTCCCAATGTTTTTTACTTCAAATCGAATTTCTCTCTGTCGAAAACGTGATCGCCAAAGAACACTGGCCCATGTTATAATAAAAATACGATACATTATCGCGTCATTGAATGGGCCTGCCGTTCTTCGTGAAGGGGCAGAGATTTTTCATGACGAAAACGCGGCGCATTTAGTTGTTAATTATTGCCACGGGCGGTCTTGCAATAAAAGTTGAGGCAAGACGAAGCGGAGAACTTTCGCCCACTGAATTTCTAGCATCGCCGCGCCCGGCGGTGCTCGAATGGCGCGATAACAATGATTTACGGCGCAATAATTATCTGTCTTGCCGGTCGCAGCCGGCCGCGGATTCTTACGTCCTTGATGAAGGACCAACCCTCGTAATCCTTTTTCTCCTCTATGTTTTCTTTTTTTTTCGAAACTGCGTTATCAGTAGCGCGCGGCTCTGTTGGAAAATCATCATTTATGCGAGTGCCATTGCGTTCATATAATTTCGGTCGGAAATTATTGCGGCATCTCGTAGAAAATATCTACCGGTAATTCGAATTCGGTAACCAACGACGATCAATTGTCCGTGCATCTACTAAATTATCTCCGTGTTTTCGGTAAAGTACTTTACCAATACAGTCAAATACTAGTGTCAAATACCAGTTTCTTTGTTATTTGACTTCTGAGTTGAGTGTTTTAAGTATGAAAATGCCCTACTATGTGGTACGCAACTTATCCTGGTATTATTTTGTGCATGAAAGCCAATGAAGAGAATTACAAGCGAAAAAACTATATATTTGACTGTGTCGGTAAAAAAGATGGCTGAAGGATCCCCTTAATAATCTCCGATCAAAAGTATCGTTCGAAACGTTCTCTGTCTATGAGAAAACTCGAAATTTTCAGAAAACTGTTATCCATTAAAAAGCAAAGAATTCTCGGAGAATTTTCTGTTAGGACTTTCATCAGAATTGCCTCTTACAATTGTTCGATAATTTTCTTTTTATCATTCTTTATTTTGTTTATCTCGCGAATAATTAAGTATGGTACAGGTTTTGTTTGAGATTTTTTTATAAGCTTCGTTTTTGTTTTAAAAAAATCCTCCGTCGCGCATTGCTGTGCTATTATATTATTTGGAAATGAAAAGGTGATAATTTCATGTAACGTGAAACGACTATTCTACGAAGGTAAAGTCCTTTACCATTTTTCAATATTGTTTCGAATCTGATATTTTTTTAAATTGGCACCTCCCGTTTTCTTTTCCACCATCGTATAATTAAAAAAAAGAACGAAAATATTTTAGTAATAATTAAACTCACTTTTAACTTGTCTCTAAGAACACTAGAAATTTATTTAGAAATAAAAATGTCCGACGAATTAAAAGAAACTTTTTCCAAAATTTAAGCAAGCGTTATTTTTATTCCGCGAGATAAAAATAACAGCGTCCACCTCGCCGGAATGTAGCGTCTCATTTTTTTTTTAAATTGTCTGTTTTTCTAGACAACCGTCCGCGGAATTTCCCATCCTCGAATACACTCGGCTCCGGTAATCTCGATGGTATCTCTTTATTTTATCATTCTGACGTCGAGATTAATTTAACAATAAGATTAGTATGTTATTGTGTTCCCCGGTATATTTTGTTCTCCCCTGAAGCGCACGTTCTCATTAAATTAAATTTCCTTTTGTCCCAGGTGCCCGTGGAGCGGAGAACTCTGCCCACCGATTTGCCAGGACCGTCCCGCCGGCGACCATTCACGAAAAGGCACTCGCCATCGGCGGAGGCGTGCTCCTCCGGGGGTAGCAGCGGCGGCGGTGGTACCGGCGGCAGCGTCGTTACCGGCACCGGTTCCGGTATGCAGACGTCGTGTTCCCTGCCGGAGACCCCGGTGTTCGCCAGAGGTAGCGACATCCCCAGAACGCCGCAGCACGCCGGTAACCCCACGCAGTCGAGGCGACAACCCGGCTGGTACGCACCCACCACAGCTACCGGGTGAGCATCGCCGCCATCCCCTTCGTTTTCGTCCGAAAGCTATCGGGGAAGATATTTTTGCGATCGAAAGTCCCCGAATAGTCGGAACAATTGTTATGATTGGCCGATCTTTGGAATTCCTGTAGAATTCTTCGATCGCGTAAGAAGCGATTGGAGAACAAGACCAAAATACTTCGATGTGAGAACAAATTATGGTTGCTCGGTAAATTTAAAAATGAAGGAATATAATAGAATATACAAGCCGAATGTACATGCTGAATATATGTATGTATGTATATTATAAGTTGAACAATGATGCAACAAACTTTCGACCTGATATAGGGTCATCTTCAGTGACAAATTACAAAAAGACCTGAACATTTTGTCGTAAAAATCAAGAACAGTAGACGTCAAGGTAATTATTTAGATTAGGACACCCACCTCCGATAACCTTGGGCTTGACATATATTATAGAGGTCACCCTCCTGAGTGACCTGCAAAAGATTTTAACCTGCGGACGTTGTGTGTTAAAAAGTTATTAAAAAAACAATGTCGACCAATTATATGTAATTTTAGACACAAATATTAAAAATTTTGAAAAATGTTTTAAACAAAAGTTGTAGATCTCTTTAAAATATACATTTTATGTCCTATTCATTTTTACTATACGAGTAACAGTTTTCGATAAAAATGATGGACTCTAAATCCTATATCTAAGCATGTGCTTTGTAGTACATAGACGATTCCATATGGATTTGCGACTTTTCACATGAAGCGAGATCCACTCCACACCTCAGACATAGTTTGGGTTAGGTTATATCTTAACAAAGTGGAGCCTCCCCGCAGGGGGGCGGAACATACTGTCTCCACGCATGTACTTCCGTTGTACTGTATTCCACATGGGTTTGCGACTTTCCACGTGAAGCGAGATCCACTCCACACCTCGGACATAGTTTGGGTAGGGTTATATTTTAACGAGGTGGAGCCCCCTCCGTAGGGGGGGCGGAACACACTGTCTCCATGCATGTACTTCCATGACGTACGACAGATGGAGATGGGAGGAGAGATATAAGATTTAGAGTCCATCATTTGTTTTCGAAAACTATTACTCGCACAGTAAAAATGAATAGAACATAAAATGTATATTTCAAAAAGATCTACAACTTTTGTTTAAAACATTTTTCAAAATTTTTAATATTTGTGTCTGAAAATTACATATAATTGGTCGACATTTTTTTTTAATAACTTTTTAACACACAACGTCCGCAGGCTAAAATCTTTTGCAGGTCACTCAGGTGGGTGACCTCTATAATATATGTCAAGCCCAAGGTTATTGGAGATGGGTGTCCTAATCTAAATAATTACCTTAGATATACATTGCTGTTAAGCCTTGTGTCCACGATCCAAGAACTTGGTTCAAGTTCTAGTTTCGAGAAATGTGTAGCCAATCAACCTGCAGCTATTCCATAAAAGCTGCAAGGTGATTGGCTACGCATTTCTCGGAACTAGAACTTGGACACAGTTCTTGGATCGTGGACACAAAGCTTTAGAGACAGAGGAAAATCCTCTATTATGAGATAGGATTCTAATATGAGATAGTAGGTTTTCAACGTACAAATTTGATCGCAAATCTTTTTTTTTCGCGACGATTAAACGATTTAACAATCAATTTTCTACTAAACAGATTTTACTCCGAGGACAATAAATTCATACCAACAGACGACGCCTATTAATTCTTTCCTCTATACATTTCGATTCCCATACACGCATGTCTAAAAGACATCTTTAAGACATACATATCTAAACGACTTAAAAACGTTTTAAAGATGTCTTTTATACATACGTGTTGTTTGAAAATTATGTAACTGTGGGACAACATGGCGGTTTGAAGAACTTTTTGAGAGCTTTTTTGAAAATTTACTAGTAAAACGTATGGTAACATTTCGAAAAACTGTCATAAAATTCTTCGAACAGCGTGTTGTCCCACGATTACACAATTACATGATTTTCAGGATAAATTTGAAGAGAAAATTCTCGTTCGTGTAGGAATCTATCCATGCTTTGCTAATCTCGCGTCGCTTTCAGCTATCGACGGAACAATCCCGGTCTGGAGCAGGCTATAATCGGCACCGAGCTACTCCGGCTGGCGGGAGGGCCGAATCGCGGATGGTATCCCACCAGGAAGGCGAACCAGCCGCGACCGGCGTCCATCGAGCACCTCGAGCGGCTGAACAACGCCTACGACGCACGGCTGCCGAGCACCGGGGACCAGAGAAAGCCGCTGACCCTACCTACGAACATCACACCCAACAAATACTTCGGCCAAAGTAAGCACAGCTCCGCCTCCAGCACTCGCGAGGCGCTACGGAGGGTCACTAGCTTGCTCATCAAGAAAGGTAAGCGCCGGGGATTCGCGCTGTTAGAAAGAGAAAAACACCACGCCTGAACACGTTTGGCGCGTGGCGTAGCTCGGGAATAACGCGACGTCTTCGGCGACTCTGAGACTCACCCTGTTTGCGTTCAAGCTGGATTTCACGGTCCCGTTTTCCGTTTTCTTGTTTTTTTTCTCCTCGGCACAGTGCTATTATGAATTCATCGTACGATTAAACGCACGTTGAGAAGAACGTGCGAATAAACGGCGACATCCTGGAACTCCTGGAAGAATTATCCTCTGATATGTTAGCAGTATTTGTAATAGTATTACTGGTGGACCGTAGAATGTTACTTGGTACGCAAACGTGGATGTGAATTTCTAGTATCGTCGTGAAAAAGAGATATTGTAAGCAATAAGCGACATTTTTCGTTCACTTATATGTTATTAGAGTGTCTCTTTTACGTTATTTTGCGTTGTGGAAACCCTGATAGAAATATTTTGTTAATAGTACTATGAGATCGATGAAAAGTGAAGTTAAAAAATTGTGGAAAAATTATGTATCTCAAAATAAATCACTATCAAGTTTCCTGAAATGTGACGTAATCTATGAAATATAAGGAAAGTTAGAGTGTACTGTTGAAAAATAATTTTTTACTGAATTTTTTCTGAAATATTGATGAAATACAATGAGGTTAATTGAGAGAGATTTTAAAATACATTTCAACAATATTTTATTATACTTTCAATAAAATATTTCCACCGGGGAAGTTAGTTAGTTTATTGGAAAGTAGTTCGTTTAAATTTTAAGAAAAAATATTTCAAATTCGGTTAGACTGTATACTGCTTCTCTCTTTAAAAATTATTATATAATATTTACAAAATAATTTTTGTTAGATCAGTACATGATTTTATTCAAAGAATATTACTGAGAATTATACTAAAAAGAATTTCACGGAATAATTTTAAATTTTGTTATTAAACAAATTAACATGTCCACTATATTTTCTATCAGTTTCTTAATATGTTTTACATTTTAACATAGAAAAGATCAATAACAATAGCAAATGTAGCAGTGCAAAATGACTTAATTGCTCCATAACTCTTTCCTTTTATATTTAATTAAAAAATATCTCTTTGATTTACCAATACTTTTATTTGTTCTTATTGCTCGAACAAATCACTTACGTCGTGTTTCCTAAAGATTTCGCTATTTGAAAGCCCGTAATCTTTGATAAGTAACCTGCGGAAGAGTTCTCTAACTTGTATCGTGTGACCTTTCGTGGCATTTGAGTGCCACTGATTTAACGCTGTCTCATTCTGTAACATTCTCGGAATGCTTGCTTTTAAGTAACTTTCACTATTGCTACACAATCATTAAGAAATTAATTTTTATCTGTGCATATGTTAATTACTCAATGTGTATTCGATGTCCCAACTCCCAAATAGCTTCAATGAACTCATATAAAGTTTGGCGTGAAAATACATGTATCTTCACACTTTTCATTATTCGATGTTGATTGAAATACACTTATCGACAATCGATTCTTAAACAATTGAAAAATTCTTTTATTACACTCGCGTGTGTAACTTTTCATGCCACTTTTTTCAAATATCTAACTTCTCTGTGTCTATTTCACATACATTTCACACACATTTCATTTGTTGCATGCGGTATTTCTGCAATATCTTCAATCTTTTCCGTAAAATTTACTGGAACGTAATTAATCAATTTATTACTTCCTCTATGTAGATTTAGAAATGATTTAGAAGTAAGTTAGTAATAAACTGATGCATGTCTGACATGTAGTTAAATACAAAAGTGTTGTGTATATCATAGAGTTTGACTATTAATTATAATATTTATGATTCACTGCGAATGTTAAATATGCATATGCATAATTCGACAATACAAATTGCACTTTAATAGTTTTTACCGACTGTTGATTTATATCAATCGTCGATAACTCCAACTACACTTTCATACTTGAAATTTTCAGTTTTATCGACAATATACTAAAGTGCTTTCCAAGTACAGTTTTTATTTTCATCAAAAATTCTTTACAATTAATCAAATTAAAGTACAGAAATACTGATAAATGCACGATCAATTCTCGAGGAACAAAATGACTATGTCTCTGACTATGTTTACACGGCACCCTTATGGCTCATTCAGACTGAACGCGATGAGCGATGAGCGACGCGCAATATCCAATGGGCGTGCAGTCTTTATAGAAAAACTGTACGCTTTCCCATAAAACCTGTACGCTGATTGGATAATCGTGCGTCTCTCGTCGTTCATCGCGTCTAGTCTGAATGAGGCTGGATTCACATGGAGCGTAACTTGCGTAAGGGTGGAGTCCCATGGAGCGGAATACGCGGAAGCAGAATCAGCGGATCGCCAATCGCAAGATTATTCTGATAGAGCCCTTTCAAAAATTCCGTCGAAACGGTCTTGT